CGTTTTGGAAATATTCAGATTTATACCCCCCTTGTTTGATTTGTTGTTGGTGTACCATAAAACACTCTGACACGGGAATAATAGTCCAAGTAGCGAAACAAATGTATGTCTCACACTAATTTCAAATAATATAAGATAGGGAAAACTTATATAAAAGAGTAAATCCAAATGTAAAGTACAAAATACAAGCTTAGCATACAAATGAAGTCTGTCCCCTCCCGATATCTAATGGCCCATCTCTCATGTAACTTCTTTTACATTATGCCATTCCAAATTATATCATGGACTTTAAGAACACTTGAATATTATAAATGTTATAATGAAATGATCGGGTGTGTTATTTAAATGGAATTTTGGCAAAAGCAAGAAATGGGGAAAACAATATTATACATTCATTCTGTTCGTTCATCGTTATCCGAGGAAGGTACATATTTTTTGCGGTGACTTGAACCGATGCCATTTTATATTATAGTTCAACTGGACAAATCCTACGTGTAATTTAGAAAGAAAAAACGGGAATTAGTAGTGAAATGAAATGTTATTTCTTGAGTAGACCATGTTACCCTTTCTTCCTTTATTTGGTTAGGAATATTTTCCGTATGTGTCTTTGGAGGCATGATTAGTTTCAATGATCAGAAGACAGGAAGCTGGAGATATACACGCACGCGCAAACCCCCCAACTAAGCATTTTCTAACGAAGCTACCTGTTACACTGGCAAAAAAGCTTCGTTGGGAGCTAACCTTCGTTGAATTTTCTACTCAATTGCTTCCTTATCAACTAAGCTTTTCTGTCGTGTTTGGCTGCGTTCCACAATGTAACCTAGCAGGATGATTGACATAGAACAAACTGATAAGTAGACACATGGTTACATTTCATTATTTCGTTATTTTAACCACATGAACTGGTCACTAGAATTTCTGTTTTATCCTTAGCGATATCAAATATTGTAGGAAGGGCCCCTGAAGCTACTGACTATTTAAAATCAACTTTATTCAAGATATTACGCTAGGAAACTTATTAATTTTATGAATCATAAAGACCTGAAATGATGCATTAAAATAAGTAAATTGAAACGCAACACATAAAGTGGTAAAAAACAACGAAATAAAGTTGAAAGATAGCGACGTTTGCTACTTTATTCAATTCCGGAAATCTTCAAGGTGCAACAAATGGGAAATTATTTCGATCTAAATATTATAACCTCAGAATACTGCCTTCAGTGTCGTGTTTAGCTGAGTTCCAAAATTTACATAGTCCAATGGATAGCAAAGAACATACTGGTAAGTAGATTACGTGGGTACATCATATCATTTCATTATTTTAACCATATGAACTGGTTCCCAGAATAAATAATCAGACATTACAGTACTATGATTACCCAAATTTGTGAACTTTTCACGAGATGAAAAGTGGAAAGGTTAAAAATGGTGAAAACCTAACAAAAAGCTGTCAAAATTTTCTTTACTCAGCTTTTTAATGCAAAATATTTAAAATTTATGAAAATAACATGGTCCCCCTCCCACTTGCATGTAACCCCTTCCTTTTCACTAAAGTAGTAAATTGTGTAATAAAACAGTTCTTAATTCAACTACATGTATGTAGATAAAACTATGGATATGCTTATTAAAAAATCAAAATAAAAGTGAAATGTGAGTACTATATCAAGTTGTTTGGGAATCGAACCCAGCCCATAATAATATTAGTTCCATGGTGTAAGCCTACACAACTTGCAGGATATTTGTATTATCACATCACATTATTTTTTACTTTTTCAAAACATGCCCCCTGCTTTTACAATGACATGGGACTTTCTAACTAAGCTAGATAGCAATACATGCTTGTTGGTGTAAACTTTCAGATACAAAATACAAAGATTGTGTTTGTTCTCAAAATAAAAACTTTTTCATAATATTCTACAATTTCATACTTTAACATTGCACTTATCTGACCTTTTGGGGATTTCGGACACTGCTTGGAGGACCACTGAGCAATATCTAACTGCTTGCAACAACTCTGCAATGGTCACATCACCCCTGTTTTGTTGGGTGCTAATGGAATGCCAGTGTCTTCGCAGAATTTTTGAAAACTTGCCAAACTTTTTTTGGCATTTTACCTCAGTCTTCTAGTATCAAAATATCATCCAAATTGTACAACATGTCGCATATTCCCAACTTATTGACCCCTACCCAATTCATGGCAGTGCTTGAAAGTTCAAAGTATTTACAAGATATTCACAAACCAATCGGTAAAGTCTTTGCAACAAAGTACAATATCAAACGCAGACTTGATGTCTGTCTTTGCTAAATGAAGCGCCTTATCTGACTTTTTGATGATATTAATTGAATTCTATCATACTGTACTGATGTGAATTCTTTGGGTATTTTTGCATTAACTGACTCTCCCTTTGGGGCTGATAAATTCTGAATCTTTCTAAATTTACCTGGGGCTTTTTTCAGAATCAAACCGATCAGTGAAATGACTAGTCACGCTGGTTTTTCGGGAGATGGATCCACAAATTTTAGGGATCTTTGATGTGTTGGTCAATGGTGCAGGTGATTTTGAAGCCATATTTAAACCCTGATAAAATCTGAGATTTCAACTCAAGGTCATATGCTTTTACAAATTTTTCTAGCTTTTCAACATTCACCGGGGTTACTTCTTTGCTGTCTCAGCCTAAATAGGGGTAACTCCACCCATCCATTTTTTCCTGTACCGATGCTTTCCTTATATGAATAACTATTTTGTTTGAACTATCTTATTTGTTTACTTTTGTATTTCCTCAATTTTTTTTCATGCATTCTATCATCAGGCTGTCCATCCTCAGAAACCATGTTCGTTTTTTGAGCTACTGACAAGATGACCACTTTAACAATCTTGCTTTTGTTTGGCCTGAAACATGCCCGGTGATCGTACAAAATTGATTGGGGGGGGGGGGCAGTAGGCGATTTCTGCAAGAAAACTCAACAAATTTGAAAGATTTATTTTTTCAAGATATGAGATCTCGCCCCTCCATGCACCCCCTCCATCCAATATTAATTTATGTTAATTATTTTTTGTATAACGCATGGAAACTAACTTTAAAAAGTGAGCAATGTCATTAGTGTTGTGATAATAACGTCCCTCAGCGGTGGCGGTAGGCATATATTTTTGTGAGTCATCATGACTCAGGTAGTTTCAAAAAAGTGAGTCACAAGAAAAAAAGTTGAGTCAAAGCTATAAAAGTGTTTTTCTTGAGTAAAAATGCATACAAAATGTAGAAACCACATACAAAATCTATTTTTTGATTTTGTGCATACCTTTTATTGTACTCTTATAGCACATTAACAACTAACAATTAATTAATTAGGCAATTGCAAGAAAAATGTCACTATTAATCATCTGATTATCTGGTCCAGCGAGTCATGGGTGTGAATGGAGTGGGAGAGGAGTTTCTCCCTGTGTGGAGTTACACAAATTGGGGTCAAAGCATTTCATTTTGAAATTCAACATTTTTGCAATCATTCCAAAGTCTAAAACGGCAATATAAGTCCGACCACAATACTGGGCATCATTTAAATTGAATACGGTAGAATCTTGTAATTATAGCTGATCAAATGAAACCGAAAGTAGATTTGTTTTCATACCTAATTTATCATCATTACCCCCCTTAATGTGCGATCGACTGGATTTTCATGTGCCCATTATCTATCTTCATAGATCAGCTTCAGATCTAGTGAATCGAAGATCTTAACTTGAGGGAGTTAATTGAAAATACTTGGTGAAAACTTACGATAGATCGGTCACTGTGAGCACCATTGATAAACCTACTGCGCATTACATCTGCGCATGCTGATGAAGGGGACGGCTCAAGGAAACTTGCTAACTTAGCGAAGGAATTTTGCGAACTTGCGAAGGAAACTAAAGGTTCGTAAATCTAGCGTGTGAACATTCAAGGGAAGATTTTATGCGGTGATTTAGATAAATATACGATCACTAAAATCCTTAGAAGGGAGTATGAAATTAATAAATTATTGTTCAATGTTATGTTCGTTTTATTGCATTTTTGATACGCCCCCTAGCAACGTGCTTCACGAGATAAACAAATCGAGGGATCGATCAATGTTTTCAAGTTTATCATTGAATCTGAATCACAGGGCTTTAAAAATTATATGAAATACCGAAATGAGAAAGTGATCGGTAGGAAGGAGGCTCGATTGCGCTGAACAAAATGTTAGATTTCCGGAATTAGCAAAATTATAAATTTTATCAATCACGTATTTTCACGTATAGGGATCAATTTAACCAAGTACCAAGCGGGGATTTGGCATGTGAAACAAACGTGCGTCAGAAAGACTCGGTAGACAATGAATATTTGCGTCAGAGTTGCAAAAATGTGAGTAAAAAACGTAAAAAATTGCGTTAACGCCACCTCTGCTTATACCTATTTATTACAGGTGGTGTAGACCATTGTTGCCTGATTTATAGCAAAAACATTGACTTTTGCACATTGGTGATGATGCTCCTTTTTTAATAGATCTCATATCATAGAAGCATAACAGAAGCATAACAGAAGCATAACAGTTCAAAAATACTAGAAGACCTAACATACTTCTTAGCAGTTTGCAGCTTGATGTTTTGCACTTGCATGGCTTGGACATGTGTGACTACCTTTGCAATCATTGGAGCCTTCCACACATTCTTGGTCCTTGTGATATTTCCAGCAGAGGCCATTTGGAATAATATTATATGGAATAGTTTTCTGCTTTGATTTTTTGCAATCTTTGAATGAGTCAGCCCTTATTGGCTGTTGGAATTCTTTGTCCTCCCTATGAATTTCCCCTTTTGGCAGGTTCATACATTCATAGTAAAGCCCTTGGTCCAAGACAGCCCATGAGCACTCTGTTTTCCCCTACCTTATAGAATAAGCGGTCATAACTCTACTGTTACCACGGAAATAGATCTCAACAGATTATATATATTTTTTTTTCTGTAAATCAGTTGTTGAGAAAGTCCATCCTAGAAGGGATTCAGTGGTTTTTGGCTCCTAGACATTGTTGGTAGATTCGTCAAGCCTGGATCTGTGCGCCTCTTCTAGTTTGTCAATAAGAGCCATTTTTGGCATGATGGATGATTAAGATGAACCAGACCTAAAGGCTTTAAGGTCGTCTTTATGATTCATCTGCCGTTGAGTGTCTAGTGCTATATTGACATCACTATTCTTGTGGGGTGTTGTAAATAATGCCTGCTTCATATTTTGATGGAAAATACCAGCTGAGTAGTGATGATGCAGGGGAATTGTACAATATGAAGCATAGGATGTTTCTCCATTCAGGAAGGCAAATTTCAGGGATGACTTGACAGCACTAAGTAGTAAAGCATATCCATTAGGACTTCTCATGTGCTCAACAAGACTAATTGCAACAATTTCATCACAATGGGACATGATTTCCTTGTGCAGCCTAAAGGTAGCATTTATTTACCTACATTCCTGAAGAAATGTTGCATACCTGGGCTCCCATTGTGATAAAATAGCTGTTATATTGTTGCTTGAGATTTGGCTTTGTAGCTCCATAGACTCTGGTAAAGGGAGTACCTGGAGAAAGCAGATTAGGAATGCCAGGTGAAGAGCAATACTTAATCACTTTATTTGATGTGTTGCTATCTCTATATTCTCTATTGAGATGAGTTTAGCCCATTCATTACACCCATTGTCACCCTGTCAAGTTGTCAGGTTTAATAAAACTAATAAATGAACTTAAGTGTCTGATTTCATTAAACAAATTACTATATTGTATTTATAATCACCAATCATTAATTACAAAAATAGACAAGGTACACTAATCACTGCTACCCACCTAATTACACAGACGTATCGTCTGTGTATCATGGCGGAACTTCCTCCGGGACTAGGTTTCGGTAAGATTTTTTTATTTCCCGATTTACACCTACTTATAAGTCACGTTGTGGATAATAATTTGGCTCGAAGTTAAGGAAGATAGTCTTGTTTGAGAATGTGTCAATGGTTTTAGGTTTTATATGTTAACAAAGACACAATTCACGTATTTAGTCCCTCGCTTTTCTAACACTGACGATCGGCATTAATATTGCCAATATTACACTGATATTGGTCGTTTTTAACATCTCTAATGGACCTTGTCATTACCATTTTAAGTATGAAAATCAAATGACTCTTGAGAAGCTATTAACATCAATACAATTAATTATTATTGAAAGATAATTACCTGTCCTCCTTTAGGCTGCTTGCAAATAAGTACCTCTTTATCATCACTTGTATTCAATTTACATTTTGCTAAAAAGGTTAGCAACTATTCTTCTAATTTAGTCAATTTTTGATCCATGGGTTTTTTAAACAATTTCCTGATACACTGGTCTCTCCCACGCCCAGGGGTCACGCCTGTTTCTACACTTCGTGATACTGGTTTTATTGGTGTCCTTTTTATTGGGGTGCTTCGATGATCATTAGTAATGTCATTCTCATTAAAACTAATTTCTGAGTCATTGTTGGCAGGATTTATTTTAATTATTTTATGACTTAATGAAGCATTGCTATTTGAACTCGAATTTAAGTCATCTTCAACGTCACTGTACTTTCTCTTCTTGTGAATGGAAAGATTACCTTGATAACATACCCAGCATTTTATATCAGATGTTACATCATCCATTACACGGGCTACTAGAGTTTCCACGTATATGGAGTATGACCGGTTCTTAGGCTACGAATATGACCTGTTTTGAAAGTCATGAGAGGCACAGCTGCTTAAAAATAGAAAATAAAGGTAAACTTCTATATTATCCTTTTTGAAATTGTGTTTGTTGAATATAGTTCATGCTGTATTTAATAGTAATGTAACAAAAAATGTTAAACATGAGCTATTTTAGCAATGTAACTGTTCATAGTGGAATATCAATCAGAAAGTACAGATTTCTCGCCTGAGCCAAATCATTAATATCACAGCAGAAAAAAAATCCCAAACCTATTTATGGCTAACCTGGACAAGATCTCCAAATCTCAGTTTATATGATCCCCCATAGAGTGAGCAAGAGAAGGATTTATCTTTTCCCAGAGGATACACTTGTGAAATGTCATGGAAACGAGTATAACACGGCCCACTGATTGTTTCACAACCGTATTCTCCAATAATGGGGCACCAGTGACATTTGTATTCTCAAAAATTCAAAGATGTATCATATTTGGACAGAGCAGGCTAAATTATTTAAAATATTCATGACTAATTCGTAGATCTAGCTATATATTATACATAAGATGTGTCATCCTCTTCGGAGTTGCGTTGTGTTACACAAAAACTGATCAAAGATGCTGGAAACTAGGATTTCACGGCTTCAATCTAATATTAATACGTTTTCTCTTGATTAAGGCCCCTTGTGATATGCCTGGCATTATAAGTATACCAAATATCATTCATTGACCAAGTAGGATAAAAAGAAAACGTTTGAAAGTGTTCATAAAAAGCAAGTACTCACCTCGTCTGTTTATAGGAACAGAAATACGTTCACACTCGTAAGCTTAGAACCGGTCATACTCAATATACGCGGATACTCTAGTAACCCGTGCATTATCCACTTGTTGTTTGTCTCAATAATTGTTCTTTTCAAACAGGAATCAAAGTCTTGTTTAAAGTTTTTATACTCCTGTTTTTTCAGTGCATTGTAGCATCTCTGGCACAGCTTATTAGGATGGCAATTGGGTTTATCCAAATCATAATTCAGAGTCAGAATAATTTTTGTTAATATTCCTTGCACTGATACACATGACTGAGGCTTGTATTTTTTCCTATAACTTTTGTTTTTTTGTCCACAAAGTCTACATAGATTAGCTAGTGATTTTAAGTGAATGTCTCTATGAATATCCATATTTGCTTCAATGTATTAACAGGTTGAAAATCAGACTCGCATAATACTTCTCATTAGATGGGTATGCCATTTGATGCAATATTTTGAAAATTCTGGCAGGGGAAATGATTCAAAACTTGTTCTCATATACAGGGTGATCCAGAAGTAACGTCAAAGATGTTGTAATTTCAAAAGTATTCATCAGATCTTCATGAAATTTGGTATACATGTACCCACAACATTTCTGAGTTACCATCTCAAAGATTGGAATTCAATCATTTCATTGGTTGAAATTATGGTTGCTATAGTAACCCGATATCGCGTAACCCGGGGCAAATTACTTAACGTGTAATGCGTAATCTCAAAATATCAACAAGATCTGAAATTGTTATATCCTCAACATTTTATTTCACAACAATATAAATCATACTATTGCACAGTTACTAATAATAGTTCATTCTACATAATTGCCACCATTTGCAACACATTTCTCATGTCTGGATACCCATTCCTTGAACACAGAATTAAATCCATTAGAACTCATTCCTTGTAGGGCTAGTACTACGGCATTTTTCAATTCCTCACAGGATTGAAAATTATTTCCACTAAGGTTTCTTTTTAGTTCCCCATACAAATAAAAGTCACTGGGGGCAAGATCAGGTGAATAAGGGGCATGTTCAAGTTGTTGAAATCCAAGTGTTTGGACTGTGTTGCTGGTCAGGATTGCAGTGTGCGTAGGGGCATTGTCCCAATGCAAGATAAACTGCTGCAGATGTCCGGGACGCTTTTTCCTCAGGGAACGTTGAAGATCACGCTTCAGAACCTGAAAAACAAATGTTTAATGGTTGTTAAACCAGTTGTTTCATTGATTGGATTTGGATTTGAATCATGGCCATGGAGTTATAATTATATTGACAGTGAACAACATTTAAATACTTTAATTTAAAAATAAAATTCACAGTATGATGTATTATTAGAACAAATGATATCTTACCTTTGCAATGTAAACGGCATTAATTTCCTGGCCAATGGGAACAAAATGGGTTAACACCATTCCTCTAATGTCAAAGAATGTCACAACCATTTGTTTCTTTTGTGGAATTCCTGGTACTATTTTAGGCTTGGTTGGTGTTGGGGAGTTGTCATGTTTCCACGATGAACTTTGTTGCGTGGTCTCTGGGATGTAGAATGATAGCAATGATTCGTCACTCGTAATGATCTTGTTAAGAAAGTCATCTCCATCTCTCCGATATTTTGCAAGAAAGTCCCTTGAAGCCTTAACACGCCGGTCTTTCTGCTCCTGTGTCAAGTCATGCGGCACCCATTTAGCAGACACCTTCTTTAACAGACAGTTCTTTGTCAGTATCCGTTGCACAGTCCCATAGCTCAGATCGTGTTTTTCAGCCAATTCTCTGATAGAAATTTGCCTATTGTCCATAACATCAGCTTCAATTGCTTTGATGGTTTGATCATCGAATGACGACACTGGCCTGCCTCCTCGCTGCTTGTCTACCACTTCATCATATCCACTGGAATACTTGTTAAACCACCTGTAAATGTTTCTCTCAGCAATGGCAGCTTTACCATATGCCTTCTTTATCTGTCTTATAGTCTCTTTTACACCTTTCCCCAACTTTACACAGAACTTAATGTTTGTTCTTTGCTCTATTTTACTCTGACTTGGCGCCATCTTGAATTGGGTGGGTTAGTGTCCTTGGTCATGTTAGTATTTGTCATGGATGATGGAAGCAATTCAAAGAAATTGAAAGCTTTTTATGAATGCCTATTGTGACATCACAACTATTACATATTTGTTACCATGGCAACAAATATAAAAATCATAGAAAACAAACAATGAACATTTTCAAATGTTACTGACTTTTTAAATTAGAGAAATTCACAAAAACGTTATGGTTTCTCTTCAATTTGCCCCGGGTTACGCGATATCGGGTTACTATAGCAACCATAATTTCAACCAATGAAATGATTGAATTCCAATCTTTGAGATGGTAACTCAGAAATGTTGTGGGTACATGTATACCAAATTTCATGAAGATCTGATGAATACTTTTGAAATTACAATGTCTTTGACGTTACTTCTGGATCACCCTGTATAGGGGACATGTCTTGTTAACATTTGCTGAAATTTCTTATTCATTTCTCCTGCCAGATTTCTACTTATTTGAGGTTAAATGTACTAAACATTAAGATAATGGGATAATCAAGGAATTTCAGAAACCAGGGTTTGGCCTTATATAACAAATGGATAAACCAGATTTCTGGTCCTAGACTTCCACATGCATTGATAACATAGTATCCTGGGTCAAGTGAGTGCAGAAAGGGGTCAAACCAAGAACACACATTTGAGAAATTCAGTGGAAAAAGTGAGAGCATTGCTCTACATCTATATGCAGGAAGCAAGGAAGTCTCCATTTTGGATGCAGCAGTTGCATAGCAACAAGCTCATTCATTATTTAGCAGGGGATATCTTGTTACTCAGTGATAGGCTATAACACTGTAGCAATAAATGATACATTTGTAAGGCTCTGGGGATAGTGTGAGGTGTAACAGTGGGAACTCAGGGAGAAATATCTTATACTTCTGCTCACTAGACTTCCACATGCATTGATAACATAGTATCCTGGGTCAAGTGAGTGCAGAAAGGGGTCAAACCAAGAACACACATTTGAGAAATTCAGTGGAAAAAGTGAGAGCATTGCTCTACATCTATATGCAGGAAGCAAGGAAGTCTCCATTTTGGATGCAGCAGTTGCATAGCAACAAGCTCATTCATTATTTAGCAGGGGATATCTTGTTACTCAGTGATAGGCTATAACACTGTAGCAATAAATGATACATTTGTAAGGCTCTGGGGATAGTGTGAGGTGTAACAGTGGGAACTCAGGGAGAAATATCTTATACTTCTGCTCACGTATCATCAGCTCCATCAAATTTCTTTCAATTTTATTATCTGGAGCAAATAAGACATGCTGTTTGTTGTTGGTTTCTAACTTACCCAATTCATCAGTATATCGTCCATTACATCCTTGAGAATAAACATGTCGTCATCTTTTCCTTTGGCTGGAGGTGGGTGCTGGCAAAGCGACCTTGGTGGTTTAAATTGACTGTATTGTAGGGATGTAAGGACTGATATTTTCTCATCTTTTGCTTTGTCTAAGTTTACAAACTTAGCGAATGGATGTTGACCCTTTAAGTTGCCTATGAACTACGAGACTGGATTTTATCTATCCCACATCATTTGAGACTGAATACTCTATCTTTTATGAGTACAAGTATCTACAACTTTTTTTGATGTTATGAGTATTGGCTATCAGTTTTTTAATTTTTCTTCAACATGTATTGTAATGACTTCAGTATGAATGAAATGTCCCTTGGTGTTCTGGTCCTGGATTGTGATATTGGTTCTCGATTGGAGGGGGAGGGGGATGTTACACATTGTTTCTTTTCACGTTATATGTTTTTGGGATATATAGGGTCTACTTTTCTTATGACAGATTTACACTTACAGTTTGCTTTTCTTGTTGGGTTTCTTTAAAGTTTTTAGTCACCCTTCCCTTTGGCATTTGTGCTTATATATTTACATTGACCAGTTCTGTGATACCATCGAATATAGCTTCAGTGATCAATGCAGGGTCAAAAATACAGTTTTCAAGAAGTTTGTCGATATCTATGTGATCAGCTGCAGAATCTAAGAGATCATCATCACTACAATCAGATTGTTGATTTTGAATATAGGCACATTCTTCATCAGAACTACTACTCGGAATGTTGTCATCTATTGTTGTAGAGATTGAAAGGAATCATTTAATTCATCCACTGTTGACTTCTTTAAAGGTGTAGAGTGTAGCGAGTGATGCCTTAATTCCAGTTGTTTCTTAGGTGAAGGGTCAGCTACCTGTCTCTGAGTACTAGTCTTGGAGATTTGGCCCGACTCCAACTGTATATCCTGTGGTACACTTGATTGACTTTGTGTAGGTCTAGTATCCTGTGGATGGGGTGATACAAGCATTTGAGGCTGGTGTATCAAACTAGTTTACAAGGAAGATCAAGATAAGTCAATGGAATACTTGCATGTACAGGGTTTAAAATAGTGTGATTTAAATTTGACTGTATCGGTATTGTAGATGTATCAGTTGGTAGATGAATTTGAATATCAGGATCTACAAACCAACAACAATCTATCATAGTAATGTGAAAATGAAGAGGAATAGGGATATTATTTCACCTGACAAAACATTAACATATACTTCAACAAACTTACAGGCCTTTGCCAGGGAGGGGGGAGCGGAGCTCAGTTTTTCATAATTCTAGATATATATTGGAACTTCACCTTGTCCCATACATCAACTATAGTCCAGTTTGTCAAGGTATTGAAACAATTTGATGCTTTCTGTTCTGCATTACTCAGCATGAACAAACATCGATCTCCATCCTCCTTTGTCATCGTTCTGCCGTTGTAGCATTCACATGAGGTTGATTCTCTAATGCTGCATTCTTGTGCATGCCATGAATATACCTCATCACAATCCATTGGAACCCCTTTCACTGTTTTTGGGAGCATACAGATCTGTTAACACCTGGATTGGGATCAGAGTGGAATCGTAGTCGGACCAGGTTATCGATTAGAAGTATCAATATGCAATCACGAAGTGATTTCATTGCTACTGTTTGACTATTTGACTGATTCATTCACACTGATTTCATAGATAGGCAAAATGGAATTGAGGTCAACTGATAGGAAGTTAAGCTGCAGACAGGCTGTTAATGCTACGCATGCTCAGTTGCTTGTTGTTATGATAAACAATATGGCTAATGTGCCTGTTCAGATTCCTCTAGATTCCATGGTTTTATTGGAACTACAACTATATGGTATACTTAATTAACATCTTCAGCAAATAAATGAATTAGTCTGTCATCACTTTAAACCCCAACACTCCTTTCTCACCAATTTGATACTCTTAATAGCCATTAGTCTGATTTTCTTTACTTTAGGAATGCTGGCTTATCTTGATACTTTCCATCTTCAAGGTTAATTTAAGAAAAATCAGAAGTTTTCTGTACAAGAAGCATATAATGTAGTTGTTCTGAATAGTTTTACGTTTATCAATCACTAGTGCAATATTTTCTTTCATTTTTTAAAATGAGTAAGATGAACTTTAATTTGGATTATGACAAGTTTGAACAGTAGTCACAATGCGGATTGTTTACTTAACACCTGTAGGATATGTGGCAAAAGAGCACAATTTTCCAAGAAATTTCAATGTGAGTATCTGCTTATATCTGTGTGAGCTATAAATATGGTATTTCCAATTTTTTACCTGGATATCGATTCTAATGATCCAAATTTAAATTGTTCAGTTCATAATTTGATCTACACTAAAATTCATTCATTTTTGATATAGGAAAATAAAAAAATGAAAGAAAATAGGTATTTATATCATAATACTTGGGTTGAACTCCTGAATATTTGTGTATAAACAGCATCATTGGGCAAACTTTAGTTATTTCTTTAATTATGTAAGAAGATGTCAAATTCAGTTTTCGATTTAGAAGTTTTTGGTACTTCTGGAAAGGTAATTGAATAAACAAAATTAATTTTCTAATTAAATTCTACAATTTGTGAAACATCCATGGTCAATATTACAAAAACTAGAATGACGGTTAATTACAATGGATTCTAAACCACAGTGTACTTTTAAATGCTGCTTCTTATCAGTAAACAAAACTTAGCATTAACGATTGGCTGCCTTACTGTTACTTGATGCCTGCCTATAGTAGAGGTCAGCTAAGGACATGATCAAAGTTTCCATTAGGGAACTCAGTGTGCATTGTAATCTTGTATTTTCTTGAAGGTGTTATAGTAGCATTGTTCATCACAAATGGTGATGTAATGGCAAAAACAGTATTAACACTCTGAAAGTGCATGGCCAGTTCTTGAGTATTCCTATCCTGCACAACACCTGTGTAATGGAGACACATCTTTGTGTTTCTTGTAACAAGAATTACATTGAATTGCACTCTGATCGATTCCCATTGTCTCCGTCTGTTGGTCAAAGTCCAAAATATTATTCATAATAACATTTTTCTTTAGTTTTCCCAGGTTGATGTCATCGCGGTGATGGAACCGTAAGACTTTCGCACCTTTGACATATAAATCAAAACTGCCTGCTTTGAAGTATACGATTTCATGAGTTTTGCAAGAAACTTTTTGATCATCTCATCAAAATGTTTAAAGTCAGGTATTTCATGATCATCAATCTCTATAGACAGGTGGAGGCCTTTATGCTCTTGAGTCATGGCCTTAGATCCTTAAGTAAATGTTTCATATCATTGCAGGTATTGATGAACTTATCGAAGTAACTGCTGCTTCTGAGTACATACCAGACATTATAAAACACTTAAATGCTCGAGTCACTGATCAGGACAGTGTCAAACTCGAAACGCAAATTAGGGACATGAAGAATGGTAAATATATGGTACAGTTTGTCCCTCTGCGTGAAGGCAAACTAAACATAGATATTACGCTATATGGCCAGCATATTACACACAGTCCTTTCCCTGTAACCGTCAAAGAGGTAGAATCAGACACTGAGGATGTTGTTGAAGATGATGATGTGATTTTTCTTAAGGAGTCAACAAAGCAAGGGATGTTAACAAAGGGGAATGAAGCATGTTTGGTCAAAGTATCGGATGTGACATGTTCTATTGATCCAACAATAGTCTACAAGGCTTATATAGGTAAGTGTTCTAATACAGGGTAACCAAAAAATACTTTAACTGTATTGGACTTTGTTCCGTCCCCACAACTAACAGACTTGATACACAAAGAGATGGTTGGATACATTAAGCCATGTTTGGTCAAAGTATCGGATGTGACATGTTCTATTGATCCAACTATAGTCTACAAGGCTTATATAGGTAAGTGTTCTAATACAGGGTAGCCCAAAAATACTTTAACTGTATTTGACTTTGTTCCAATTCCCATCTAACAGACTTGATACACAAGGAGATGGTTGGATACATGAATCAATGTTTGGTGAAAGTATCAGATGTGACATGAAAAGGATGGTCAAATTACTAGCAGAAGAAACCAACCTCATAGGCTGTGTATACTGTGTAAATTCTTAACAAACAATGTTGAAAATAATCATAAAAAGAATGAATGGATATAGCAAACTGAACATGTATTTAAAATAATTCACACATAGCCAGGCAATTGGTATTCAATTCCAGCCAATCAGAACACGCTCTTTCATGTAACTGAATTCCCTTGTTCAACCAAAAATGCATATGTTGTATGGTTGTCAGGGTGAGGAGATTGAAATTGATGCTTTGTCAACTTGACACTTGCCTGTTAGTAATTTTTTTATCTTTTAGTTGATATTTTGGAAAATATTTTGCAATGTGTGAATAGAATTTAAGCCCAAGACTGCATTGTGGCTGCTTCTTTTCACTCAGGCGTTGTTTCCTAAACTTTGCATTCCCGCTGTGTGGTCATGCAAAAAATTTGAAACATCACCTTCAGTGGAATGATTCAGCATAGAATGTTTGGTTGCTTGCACAATGGTGAACAATCTACTACAATAACTCTGCCCACATTGTATGTTGGATATGTATTGGTCAAGAACTGTTGAACATCAAGTTCTATCACATATGGGTCATGTGATGATCCCGTCTCAACTGACACATTTTTCTGAGAAAGTGCAGCATTTTTCCTCTGATTTCTAAAGTTAATAACTTTAGGGAGTTTGGCAGCTATTTCTGCAGCTATTTCCCTGGTTTTCAGAAGTTGTGTCCAGTACTTCCATTTCAAAGAAGTAATTTCATTGTAGTTGGTGTCAAGAAATGATTCAGATGTTATGGAATGGGTTTGCATAAAATGCCATTCAAAAAGTTGTAAATGTATCCATGTGTGATCATCAAATAAAACCTGATGCTGGGTTTCAAGGGTGTGTATATCCTTTAGTAGATTGACTAGATCTTAAGTGGTTTTCCAATGACTAGACTGATATTTTATTCCTTTGGAAGCTATGGTTTTATAAAGGCAAAGGACTGTTTTGTCATCTACATCTGGGACTGTGGAAGGAGTTTTATTGTACAATATTTGAACAATCACACCACTTATATCACAAACAATCTTCTCACAGGTTTTATCCTTTGGTCGATCTATGAAAAATATATTTTAAGATATCCGCTAATCATGAGCATTGTTTATCATTTATTTTATGAACAGCGTCACTGTGATATTTTTCAATATCTCTTTTAATTGTTTTAGATTTAATATCTGGAATAATGCTTTCAAGTTCTACTAAATATATCCATGTAACATTTTCATGTTGAAATGAGGCTAGACTTCTTAATAGATGTAAAGCCATGTTAAGCCATCATGTCTGTACATCATCTCACAAAACATAAATAATATCTGCAATTTAATATTTAGTATAATTGAATGTGGATATCTAAACCTTCTGTTTCATTCCATGCAAGTGCTGATCATGGAGCTCTTACAAACTCAGATTTTAAATGACTTAGACTAGGAATATGCATGTAGCTTAGAAGTAATTCAATATTGCCAGCACAGTTTCTGGCTGGATGTAAGATAGATACTCGGTCACTTCTCATTTTACTATAAACACAGTGTCAACAGGAGTAATTATTAAATAGCCTGGAGGCAAGTACAGATCTGTACCAAGATTTCGGCATACAAATAAGACTAAGAAGAAAGTATTCTATGAATGACATGCAAACTATCTAATGAATGTATACGGATACATGCTGTAGCTTGAATGTATGTTTGTTTTTTGTTATGTTAAATATGTTTTACTTACATCTAGTTGATTTAATATTTTTCTTTCTTTTAAACACCTGCGTAATCTCAACTATAAGTCGGGTTCGACTCCAACTAGGTGCTCCGTTGTAGCAGCTAATGAACGATTTAATCCATTTTTCATTCCACACATTTTTCGATCAAGCAAATTGAATTGGTGCAGCTTGTTCTCCATGGAGGGCCATACCACAGCCAAAGCTTTCTATCCATTCTGTAATATAGTCCTCCAAAAAATGTTGTTTGGGAATAACACATACTTTGGGATAGTTCTTTCTGAAAACAGTCATTGATGTTAAATTGAATTTCGGGAATCATTCCTTTGCCTATTGAATTATCTGACGATACTTTACTGTGAATAGTATTGAACAGATTGTTTATTTCTTTAAACTTTCTGACCACTTTTGTTGCAGATTTTATGCACTTTTTGCACATGACAGTCCTTTGGTTTGTTTTTTGGTTTTTGATATAATTGCATCTGTTACATGAGGTTTTAGATACTTATGACAATGGTTGCCAACAAAACTCTTGCCATGATACTTTGGTCTATACATTTGGTGTTTCTTTAAGGTTGAGTCAATTGAATAAGTGATGGGGCCTGATTCAGTGTCAAGAACAGTCTTGCTGTTTAAATCTTCTAATTTTTCACTCAAATATTTTTATCAGACAAATTGGTGGTTCCCATTATCTTCTTTCCAAGTTCTTCCTGCTTTTTTATTATGTTAGATATGAATTCCCCATTAACAGTGTTATCAGTTTATGAAATTATAGCATCATGATCTGCAAGCTCTGCAGCAATGAACTTATCAATAGCATGGCTTTTCGATAGGAGGACGTCATGGTGTTGTTTTACTACACCAAGAACAATCTGTATAGTATGGAGGACACATCCGTTCAATGGGTATATCATAAATAGGTTTATTAATTACATTTTTGTATATTTTGGCATTCTTTGATCAGCTTTTGCCCTTTATCAAAAAATCCTGGTGATGTTTTTTAATGTTGGATAGTGTTCTTTTACGAATCTTACCTCGCACAAGTAAAGGTATCTGCAAGTCAGTGGAGGAGATTTCACACCAAAAGCATGGGTGGGCTCCATTCGCAATTTTGACCCAAGTCTCATCTTTTGGGATGCACGTGTTGCTCGAGTTGAGTAAATTATTTGTCATCATTTTTTTACTTATTCTGGTAGTTATTGTATTTGTCAGATTTTGAACAAATACCATTGGTTTACTTGATCAAATCATTCCTCTCTTGGAATGTGGAGCCTTTTTATCTTTGCTGTAAAACTTAACCATTTCCCCTTTCAAACTTTTTCCAATCAGATTGTCTCTCATTTTTGTTTCACTTGCTTTTTTGAGTATTTCACACCAACCTTTCTTAAATATATTTTTATAGTGTTCATTTGATACCAAGATAATTTAGCAGAAGATTTGAGGAATAAACAGTATTTGTTTGGAAGCTTTGATGTTGCAAACCCCAAATGTTAAGTTTAGTTTATATATAGTTTATTATAGTGTCACAGGTTCATACATATACAATAAAATACAATACTAAAATACATTAATAAAAAACCTCTAGCCGATGCCGGCTTATGATACACTTATATGAATACATAAATAGCATCAATATTACAATGTTATTGCAAACGTTCCAGATTAAATGCCCTCTTTTGAAACATTTTATATATTGGAAGCAATTTACCTTTGACTAGATTAACATGTCATTATAGAGTGGAGTGTAATATTATCAACACTAAAATTATCGAATGAATCTCTTAAATATGAAAATAGGTCATTTCTGATATCTATATAATGTGTACAGTCTAACAGAAAATGTTTTACATCTTCTACTTGGTCACTATCACATAAAATACATTTTCCGTCTTCTACATTTTGAATGTGCTTTAAATTCCTTCATCATTTGAGCATTTAATGATTGTTAATTTTTTATCTATACCAGAGGCAATATGTCGCACTTTGTTAATGAGTTTTGTTCTTTTTCTTTTAGTAGGGGTTCTAGCTTCTGAATTTGGTGTTTGTACCTTTGTGATTTTAATGAAGATAAGGGACTATAATAATACAAATGGCTCTGTTGTAAATTTTGCAAGGGAATAAATGGCACACTTCACAATACTTGAAGAATCTAATATGAATAATTTGCTTTTAACATTTATGGTGGATGATTAGTATCTACAGCTTTAAAATCTACAATTTAAAATGATACTTGAATTACATGCTTCAACTTAATGCACCTCTTGATTAGCTACAGCCTTATAACAAAAATTTAAAATAATTTTTAAAACTTGAATTAATTACCCTTCCTCTTGTTTTACACCTGAGAATTTCATCATCAGTATGATGCAGCGATCTCCCAACTAATGATGTAAGTAGCTTCTCTATATTTGAGAGTTCTTCTGTTTTTGGTTTTAATAAAATATCATTGATTGTTGTTTCAGATGTCTTAAACTTTCCAGGAATGATTTGTGTAAAAGTGTCTGATTTTTTTGGGTGTGCTTTGTTAAAAAGTTCATTCCATTTCTGTTGTATCAGCATCATTATCAATTCTTTGTTTTTTATTTGGGGTCTGATTGATTGAAGATATGTCTGATATGGATACCTCACTGCTAGTTGAAGAATCATACTCGGATTCTGTATTTGAAGAATGCAGTTACAAATTTGTAGAATTGTCAAAACTTCCGGACAATGATATGAGTGATGATGATGGAATCAAATCATCTGAAATGATAGTTAAAGATGGAAAATTGGTAAAGAGGAAATCTGATTGTGATGTTACTTGTTATTTTTTTCTTTTGCGCCTATTTCCCATACTGAAAATCATGTAAGGCACAAATATTACAGCTTGTTAGCACCATGCATATCTGATTAAATTGTAATAACACCTCTCATCAAAC